GGAGGCTGTTCTATACTTTCCTGTAGGGTTCACTGTTGTTGTTAGGTGCCAAAGAGTCAGCTCCACCTCATAGTGACCTATGTGTGCACGATCTAATGAAACACTGCCCAGTCCTGGGCCAGCCTCACAATAGTTCTTGTTGGAGCTCCTGGTCGCAGCCACTGTCAGTCCATCTCATCGAGGGTCTCTTCTGTTCAGCTGCTGCTCTATTTTACCAACAGCATGATGTCCTTCTCCAGAGACTGATCTCTCCTGACAACATGTCCAAAGTACCCTTTTGGAAGACGAACGCAAAGCCAGTCCCCGCGCTGGTGTCCTTCCCGGCACAAGCCATATAATTTTCTGGTTCAAAATGGCCAACACCGGTCCACTTTGGCTCACCGACACCCAGAGTATCAAAGTTTATGTATCCTTTTTCACTTTCCCCCCATTAAACCGTTGTTTATCGGCAGTGAGCTGGAAAGGGCGATGGAGTTGGCATACACAGACAACACCGCACACCGCTGTCACAAAGGTGGCAAGAGTGAGAGGAAAACGTGGCCTGGAGCCCAGGTGGTGCCCTCCCATCAAGAGGTGGGCATGGGAGGGGGCGAGGGGTCTGGAGTGTTGAGGGGCAGCCTCACACCACCTCCATTTAGTAGGCGTGGTTAGAGACGTAGAAGGACTCGCTGGCTGCAGCCCCAGCTCGGCCGCTTGGAGCGTACTTCCCTCGGCAGGCGAGGCTGTTGGCCAGGGCTCGCTTGATGTTCTCCTCCTGGGCTGCCTTCAGGTTCTCCTTCTTGCCACCCCAGGCCTTCAGGGCAGATGCCTGCAGGGCTCACCGGTAGGAGAAGGTCAGGGCCCATGGCTTCAGCAGGGGGCACTTGTTGATGGCGTTGAGGTGGATGGATGCCTCCTCCTCGCTCTGGCCTCCAGACAGGAAGGTGACCCCGGTAACAGCAGGGGGCATGGTGCAGCGCAGTGCAGTGACAGTTGCCATGGCAATCTCCTTGTGGGAAAACTTCTGTGTGTATGCATGGCCGGGGGTGACCATATTGGGTTTCAGGTGCCTTCCAGGTAGACGTGGTGGCCACTCAGGGCCTTGTAGACGGCAGCCAGCACCTTCTCAGGGACATACTGGCAGCGCTTCAGGTCATGGTCGCCATTGGGGAGGATCTTGGGCTCCACAATGGGCATGATGCCATTCTGCTGGCAGATGCTGGCATAACGGGCCAGCATGTTGGCATTTTCCATGATGGCGAGGGCTGAAGGGGTATGTTCGCCAATCTTCAGCACACAGCGACACTTGGCAAAGTCATCGCCATCTTTCTTGTACTGGGCACAGCGCTCAGACAGCCCGTCCAGCCCTGGGTGGTGGTCTCACCGTTTGTTTCTGCCAGGGACACCACACCCTTGTCGACCTTGATGCCCACAATCCCGCCCTTGGATTTGATAAGTTGGGGAAAGTGGTGCCCGTCATCTGCCTTCTGGTAGAGAGTCTCATGGAAGAGGATGATGCCCCCAATGCAGGGGTTCACCTGGTCGTCAGCGGTCAGCAGCAGCTGGCGGTAGAAGCGACGGTTCTCTTTGGTGTTCTCAGTTCCAATGGACTGCAGTCGCTTGGCAATGCTTCTGGTGGACTCATCTGCAGCCAGGATGCCCTTGCCTGCAGCCACAATGCGATGGGCAATGCCCGACAGCTCCTTCTTCTGCTCTGGGGTGAGTGCTGGGTATGGGGAGGGCATGGTGGCAAGTTCCTTCCTGGAGGCTGAAGGAGCGGCAGTGGGTGGAATCAGCAGCGAGCGAGTCGTGTCCTATTTCATTTTTAATGACTTCTAACTTTCCTAGGTTCATACTTTGTAAATTCCAGGGTCCAATTATTAATTGATATTTGCGACTGTATCTTCTCATGTTGAGTCCTGCTCCATCAGGAAACCAAGGTCCAGAAGGCTTTCCTCCCTCTGCGTCATTACGCTTGACGCTCCTTGGAGACGGAAGCTCTTCCGACAGAGCTGAGGGGCTCATCTTCTGGCACGATCTCTGACAGTGTCCTGCTTCTACATTTGAGGATTTTAGTAACTGACACTGTTTCAGTGCCATCCACTGGGTTCCAGTGACTAGTTGCTCTAAAGTGGACAGCCTATTCCTTCTTCATGGTCTCTTCTCAGTCTGGAAGCTCTGATGAAACCTGGGTGATGCTGCTGGGATTTGAAGTATTAGTGATGTGGCTTCCAGCATCACAACAACACACAAGCCACCACAGTATGATAACAGATGCTTCCTGTAGGGGAGCTGGGTCAGAACTGACTCAATGGTGGTGAGTGGATTAGGTTTGGAAAGGGTTGGAGGAGAGCCTGCATGGTCCAACGATTCATGTGCTCGGCTGATAACTACACAGCTAGAGGTAGGAGTCCAAGTCTCCTGAGAGGTGCCGCCAAAGAAAGGCCTGGTGATCTACCACTGAAACATCAGCCACAGAAAGCCCTGTGGAGCACAAGTGTAGTCTGACATGCGAGAGTCAGAATCTATGGCAACTGGTTTTTAAAGAACTAGATGTACGAGAACAGATCATCTTGCCACCTTTGTCCCTTCTGATACACACACACACACACGGTTTTTGACACCAGAAGTTTTCACTTTTCATTATAACACGTTTATTCTATATATATTTTAATGTCACACTGACTCCCTTTCCTGGGTTTCCATTCAGTTTCAGAAGAACGTACAGCCATGTTAAGAGTCAGGATTTGGGGACCCTTGAACATTTGTGTTTGGAATTGTATGCCTCCGGGTGTTCCAGAGCCCACTGCTGCTTGTTTTCAAACTCACGTTCCCCCTCACGGTTCAGCTGCAGAAAAGCAGTGCCGCATGGGGGAGTGTGCGTGACATGTGTGTGCCCATGGGCAGCAGAGGACTGGCAAGGTCTCCCTGTACTTTCGGAGGTCGCTCCCGGTCATTTTCTGTCCACAACCACAGGCTTCTCCTGGCCTGTTTCCATCCAGCTGCACCGCTCTGCCCACCAGGCAGCAGGTGAACAAGGTCACAGGGTTGGGGTCAAGCCCATGGGCACTGCGGCCCCGGGCAGTGTGGTGCTGGTGGCTGTCTGAGGCATGGGGTAGGGCATGCTGCCCTCTATGACCCTGTTCCTGTGGTCAGCACAGAAGGCTCTCTCCACTTCCTACTGGGAGCACGTCCTCCAGCAGTCTGAAAATGCTCCTAGAGGCCTCGCAGGGAAGGAGTTGAAGCTTGCGGGGGGACTGTGGTTTCTGGATTCCAGGTTTGCATGCTGTCCTTGTTCTTGTTGGGAACCAATTCATTTCCGGATGAACTGTGGGGGGATTTTGCTGGTTTCCTTTGACTAGCTGATCCTGACATGTCACCTTTCAGCGCAAGTGCCTTCCCTCTGGGAGGCTGGGCTGGTGGCTAGGTGTGTGGCGTGGCTTCTACTTCATAGTGACAC